AGCCCCAAACAGTTTTAGGGCCAAGGACATCAAGAGTCTTTAAACACCTCTCCAAAAGTATTTTAAGAGAGCTAATATACCACAAGGTGGGAAAAGATATATCCTTGTGGGAATTTGAAGAGCCAAAAACTATCTTTAGTAATTAAAAAAAACACACCAAACAAACAACTAAAATGGTGCTCGCTTGCGTACATTTTATTTGTACAGGAAAGTTTTAAAGAAACTCCTTTGAGAAATGAAAGATCATCAGATTACTAATAACTGTAGTTTCCTGAGCAATTAAGGGAATTCACAAGACTATACCCTACGCAGGAAATGACAAATATATCTGCTTTTTATAGAAGGACCAAAAGGGCATTTTTATCTATAGTATCTATTCTGTAAAAATCACTGTGAGTAAGGAAGCAATTTTTACCATGTTTCTCGTTTATTTCAGGAGCACCTCGCCTGGCAACAGTCAGAAATCAGAGAGAGTGCAAGGTTGCTCCCCTTAGAAAGCCAGCATTTTTTGCTCAGAGACATTACGTTTAAAGTTCCTTCTGGTATCTATGGAGTTTGGATCACAGAGCACAATTTCCATTGCACCAAACTTTGGTTTTAAGTGAGTCAGCAAAAATGTCCTTAAGTTACCTGGTCTAATTCTTCACAAATACACTTTGGAAGGTTAAGTCTCATGCATCATCCTAACACCGCTTGGCCCTAATAACGTTCTGTGTGATGTTCCTGTTGGCTAAATCTTCTTTCTAATAACTGATTCAATAAGCTGTTGACAAATGATTTGTATAATATAGTATGGCCAGCGAGCAAGGTTTGTCTCTATTGCTCCACACCACATTCAACCCGTCCACAAATGTTACTGGCCTCCCTATGTTACAGCTCTTTATGCCTTTCTGAATAGCAATGCAGAGATCAATACACTGTCTGCTGAAAACAACGGGACATAACAAATGAATAATTTTATTTACAATAAAAGCTCTAGTCCCCAGATGGATTCCACTAATGTTCAAATTCATTTTTCATGCTCCACCCAAGATGAAAAGTAGACAGGAGGCAATGCAAAGGGGAGGCATGTGTGTATGAAGGGGGGTGGATTGGGGAGGGTTGAATTATTAAACATATTGGTTCAATTGTTTTAGCCATGAACAATAGCATGGCTGCACCCAGATCCCTGAATAAAATGCTCACTGCTGATTGTGGAAGGTGCAGTCTCTAAGAGGTGCCTGTTCTTTAAACCAAGACATTCTGAAGAAAAAAAATCCAGTAATAAGAAGTTAATAGATTAAAGGCATTCTGACATATTCTTCTAGGCTTGTATCACAGAGGCCAAAGCCCATTCAATTGGCTTTAAATACTGTTTTCAAGAGACAGAAGTGTTCGCTTTCAGTGGAGCGAAGGAGGGACTGAAGTGGTTCTTTTGAGACAGGAGCCAACAGACTCGCTTCAAAAGCCTATCTTCAGCCCCTGATCTGGCAGGCCTTTGCCTCCTGTGAAAGAGATGAAAAAAAAAATCTGTGGGCAAAGTCATCAGAAAAAAAAAAAAAGTGGAGAAGGGGGAGTTTGCGGTGAGGGGAGCAAACTCTTAAAGAGGACATCATTTCAAAGATGACATTTACAAATATCTCTCCAATGGGACCCTCCCTAAAGGCCACTTGAATACCGTCTATAAAAAGCATTTATCAAAAACACAGAATAAAGCTTTGCATTTCTCATACAGCTGTCAATAAACTGCTCTGAAACACACAGGCCTATCCATTGAGCAACCTACACATGGAAGAAATGGAAGAGAATCTCTCCCCATCTGCCGTCCGTACATTCGCTGTTTTTAAACTTAACTCACTATATACTCTGGAGAAAAATGTACATGGGATGGTCACCAACAAAGCAAGGAGGGAAAGTTGGGGCAACTGCAGCTTAGAAAAGACACTAAAAGTCTACGATCAATTGGTGACAAGATTTGGCTCTTGCATAGGAACACTGCAAAGGCAGGATCTCAACAGTTACTTGCTTGTGGTCCCGTTCCATTAACTGAGCTTCACTTTAAGTTCAGTCAACACAGTGCTGAGAAGGAAGACATGCCTGAGAGCAGGTCCTGTCTCCACCCATTCCCAGCAGTTAATGACTCCACACAGAGGCAAACAGGAATACACAAAGTTCTGGCGTAAAGCTGACTAGGATAAGTGTTAGGCACAATGCCTGGAACAGAGTAGAGGCTCAGTGATGAACTGTGGAATGAATCAACAAGTGGATAAGGAGCAAAGTCAAAAACAAAGAGTATAGATTTCTCCACCCCTTACAAAGGCAAGACAGGTATCAGTCAAACTTTAGTTGACATTCAAAGAACGGGAAAGATCTCAAGGTGTTAGAAGTGGTTCCAGGGGGAAGCATGGTGAAGGATAAATACAAACAAATGTTTGAGGACTAGCCAGAAACTGGTAGATTGAGCCAAGATAAAGAGCATTTTTTAAAAGAACTACACTAAGCATTAGGACTTCAACCTCAAGAAACATGGAGATTCATGAATGGTTTGTTTGCTAGGGAACCCTTAAGAGGTCAGAACCAGGCTTCAGAACTCCACTGTAGGCTCAATGAACGCATTTCATAAAAACAAAATGGCCCAGGACACTGAGTGGGAGACACTAAGGCAGGTAGAATGGGAGAGAGGGGTGTGGGGGTACAGATTAACCCCCCTGCAGAGCTCACACAACAGAGTTGGTGAATTGGTAGTGGGCAGAGCTATCTACAGCTTTGACTTACCAATCTCAAAACAAAAGAAGATAGCTGTCTGCAGGCAAAGATGCCTTATTAAGATTCTTCTCACAGTTGTAACCTCGAAGTGTTACAAAGGTAAAGTAAAATACAAAAGTTACAAAATCATCATATAAAAAGGATTGTCTGAATGCATTAGCCTCTGGTCCGGAGATCATTTTAAACTCTGTCTATGTGAAATAGCCTTACAAAGTGTACCGATTACAAACATGTTCCCCTTCTCTTTCTCATCCTCGGACAGAGCTGGATCCTTCTCCCTACCTTCCAACAAGTTGAGGTTGCTTCCTATTAATACAATATTTTCTCTGTGCTTGACATTTACCCAAAGATGTTATCTGGCCAGGTATCATTTCAAAAATGACAATCCCATCTGGCAGAAAGAGAAAAATTAGCCATTACTCACTAATTTCTCAGTATTCCCTGACAGACATTTCAATTTCTCTTGCATTCCAACAAAACTATGTTACAAGTCTTACATATTACCCTTTCAGAGTTGTTTAAAGGAGCCGTGGAAAAAGAAGAAACGTATTACCAAGTTGGGGGTGGGTGGGGGTCACGAAGCAAAGTCCATTCAATTACTGACCGTAAGAAAAAGGTACATCTCTCAAATCACATGTTGGCTTGACCTAAGGCAATAGGATTTGCTCATCGAATTCACCTTGCAAGCCCCAGCTCCCACTAATTCCTCACTAAAAATTAACTGAATCTCGCAAATAAAAGGACATGACATTTAAACTCTATAGCATTGACCCCAGAATTTACAGATATTCTGTTAAGTAAAATTAATCCACAGAAAATTATCACCACAAACTTACAGCAAAACCAAATAATGGGGTGGGGGGAATGCTTTTGTTATGCCAAGAATTTCAAGGTCCTTTTGACTAACTCAATATAAAATAAGTGGACTACCGAAAAACTGTCATTTTGCACTGATTTTTCAAAATGCTTCTGTTTTTCTTTAATTTCAATTAAAAAAAAATGCAGCATTCTAGCCCTGAGAATTCACACTTTGGACTCAGCTTAATTTTTGTAAATGTAAAAGATTTCAAAAATATTATTCAGAAAATGTTCACAGAAAACCATTTATGAGTTCCTTGCAACAATTATGAATTTAATAAATTGACCATTTTATTTAGCTAATTTGCACTCAGAGATTAGGGTGTCTCTTAAACACTCAACATTATCTTTTGCTGTGTGCTTTCCTTATTTACATGTTTTTTTTTCAACATACAATTGCTACATGGCCAAGAGGGAAGATTATTCATGAAATTCTTAAGCACTTTGAAAATTTTCACTGAAAAAATAAAACTTCCCTGGAAAAAAAAATCTTGGCATATTTGTACATTCAAAATTACTGAAGAATTCATTTCAAAGTGAGATGCTGTTTCAGTGGGGGAAAATGCTTATTATTTTTAAAGAAAGATTTGTATTTTGTTGTTCTCTGCATAAACTAAGTTAAGCGGGGAAGATGTAATTTGAAGAATCAGTACAAAATTTAAAGGCACACAATCACGAGGGACACTTTCCACAACATAAAAATACCCCCCTGGACATTTCATCAATTCTCGTTCCTCCCTCTGCACAAGAGACAACCTCTCCCATTTCTGTGGGAGGAGACAACACCTTCTTGGCCATCCTCCATCAACAACGCAAAACAATCATCCACACATCGGGCTATTCTCCAAAGAGAAAATGCTATTTCAGAGTAACATGAATTTTTTTCTGTGCGAGCATATTTATGTACGTCACTTTAATTTTAAAAACAGAGCCCGGATCATCTCCAAGGGGTGAAGAAACAAAGTCAGTCTCAAATTGTCATGGGGTACCTGACTTCCACATCACAAAGATGGCAACCGGTTTCTAAGCCAGGATTACAATTCACAGCAGACAGTCTGAAAACAAAGTGCCCACGATATTCATCGGGCCCGTTTGAGAAGCACCTATTTATTTACACAGCTACAGTTGTGAAAAGGTCAAGCAAAAATTCACCTCCAAAGCCATGGTTGCTAAGCAACTCTTTTCAGAAGTTCTGCAACACTGATCAAGCATATTACTGGTGCCACCGGCTGGATTCAGAATAAATATGAATAACATCTTACCTGTTCTCTCCGAAGGGGTGGGCAGGATTCCTTGCTTACCTTTCTGATGATACACAGGAGGCCAATCCTGGCCAGAGAGATTTGGAGGGCTGTAAAGTGTTTCCTCTCTTTAAGCAAAGCAAAACAAAAGGATACGTCCTGGTACCACAGGCTTCCTGTTCACGAGGGCAAAGGACAGTTCTGTCTTGAGAAACACCACCGAGGGCTTGATGAGATGTTGGCCGAATCGGAACGACATTTCCTCACCGTGGAAGAAGTCTGGAAAGGGAGGACAACTTTTAAAAATGGACATTTGTAAAATGCTAAGAAGAAACTCTGTAGACCATAAACCACTTTAAGGAAAGAACACTTGATTACTATAGATTCTTAGGTACAAAGAGGGCACCGGGGACGGCGTTCCTACTTTCATTTCCAGGGTGAGATAGCATAGGAAACGCTTCCTGTTTGGGCTGCCTCTATTTACTGTTGGTGTTTTCAAGCAAAAGCTGGGGCGAGGGCAACCGCCCAGCCTCTAATCTTAAATGTATCTATATTTCCTGGGTGCCACCTCAACCAAATCCACAAGGGCCTACGTGTTAAATAGCTTGTTTTTATTTCTCTTAACGCTTTCATTTGACCTTTTTTTTAAAGTGGGAAATATTGTTCAGCATTGACTACAACCTTTCTAATTCATCGATGCTTTTCTCAACGGGTTTTCTCTTTATTTGTAAGAGAGCAATTAGGAAGAAGGGAAAATCCAATCACTATTTGAACTTGCCTACAATCGCAAACACGCAGGAGCAATCCTAGGGAACTATGATAGCAAAATTTCCAAATTTCTGAAAGAAAATAAATGCGAACAAAAAGAAAAGGGCCAAGTAGAGTTTGAGATAAGAACAATATGCTGTTGGCCATGAGCCAGCATACAGCAAGGTGTGAGCCCCATCACCCAGGTCCCTTTCTGGAGAGAGGCAGAAGGGGTCACATTGAGTGTGTCCCTTGATGTCTAGTGTGAGCAAATCCATTCATGATCCAGACCAGATGGGACAATGCTCTGGCAGCCAGCTGCCTATATGTGATAGAGTTCTTTTCGGAATGACTGAGACTCGCCCTCTCTGGAAGACCATTTTATTTCCTAATTTAGGAACCACCTTACTACAGAACAGCCAAAAATAGATCAATTCCTGGGTAAAACAGAGGCAAGGTTACAGAAAGGATTAAGTCAAAAAATGGTTGGCTATTTTAAAAAGCAGAAGTTCACCTACAAAGCCTGCACAATCACTTACTGCTTCTAATGTTCTCCACAACACACACAACCAACCACACAGGGCTACAAACATGCCATCCATTGTAGACACACCACAAAGGCAGGACTTGATAGTTAATAGATAATAAAGAAATAAGGTACAAGGTTTAAACACAGACACTGGTTTTTAAGAATGTTTATAACTCTCCCATACAACAATATAGGGCCAGTAAAAATGTCATGCTAGTGCAGCAGTTCGCCTAAGACCATCTGCAAACATGTATTTCTGATGGTCTTAGAAATCGAGACACCGCTCCTCTCTCCGTCTCCAGGCGGGTCCACCCACAAGCAGATACGCCCATAGACGAGTACCTGACTTGAAGACTGTTACCCATGCTACACCATGCTTCAAGACAAAATTTCATTTATTTGTCATTAGAAAGAAATATTTCACAATATATAATTACATATTGTTTTTGTGATTAATTGCTATGCTTTAATTATGTTCCATTTGTAATAATGAAAATACATCCTGCATATAAAATATTTACATTATGATTCATAACAGTAGCAAAATTATAGTTATGAAGTAGCAACGAAAATAATGTTATGGTTGGGGGTCACCCAATGAGGACCTGTATGAAAGGGTTGCGGCATGAGGAAGGCGGAGAATCACTGCCCTAGTGAGATGTTGGTCCCTGGATCAGAAGCTGCAGCATGATCACTGGGCCTTTCCAGGTGTGTGTGGTCAGCATCATGGTGATCACTCGGGCCTTTCCAGGTGTGGTCAGCGTCCTTTCGGGGGAGAGGGTGGCTTTATGAGGGGAACGAAACTCAAGGCTGTTAGAGATAGGAAACTTAAAGCTGGAGGAAAGAAAGAAAGAAAAAATGAAACTTAGCCCTCTCTTAAGAGGCTCGGCCTGTCATGGAGTCACTGCTGCCTTACAAGGCCAGGGGACGCACCGCCGTATGAGCGGAGTGTGTTGGGAACCCAGGGCTTAGAAGGGGTGAGGGAGCATTTGGCAAACCTTCTAGGCACGCTGCAACCCCATCCCAGACTTGGTGGACCAGAAACTCTGGGCGTAGGGCACAGTACTATGCTTTAACTGTCCAGGGATTTCAGAACCACTAGTCTGACCAATCCATGGGCCCTTCCCTATAGAATCTCAGGCAAATGATTGGCTAAACTATGCTTAAACAATATCCATCTGTGTTAGTCTGGGTCCCTTAGAGAAACACATCCACAGAAACTCATGTATGAGAGAGCTTTATATAAAGGGTAAGTGCACATCAAGAAAACAGCCCAACCCAGTGCTGCCCAAGCCCTCAAGTTCAACATTAGCCCATATGTCCGACACCAATTCACAAAGTCCTCCGCCATCTCACAAAACACACCTAATGATGCCGACTGCAGGAGGAAAGCCGAGTCAGTGAACATATAAGCATCTCAGCGATGGCAGGGGTCTCCACACGGGTGCTCCAGCACCCTAAACTGCACCAGAGTAGGTCCATGTGGCTTCTCCTCGGGGATGTCTTGCAGGAAGTGAGACTTGCTAGCTGAAGCAGGAACTGGCTAAGGCAGCGGCACCCTAGTCTGACCATCAGAAATCAAGAGACCGGAGAACTAGAAAGGCCAGACTCACCGAGCCATTTATCTCTCTGCCCTTCAATTAACCCCACATGTGTTTATTGGCCAGGTTGGCACAATAAACTTTAACTAACTCACCACCCATTCCTCCTAATAGGGTCAACTTAATCAGTTACATAGTATTTCTTCATTCAACATCCATGCATTTGTTGTGGCCTTGTTTCTCCTGGTAATATGAAAGTCGTTGTAGGGAGGTAACACAGGCTTTTTAATTTTTGTTTTGGGGATCCAATAAACTAGAGCATAGGCTTCTGTCAGACACATTTTTTTCTTTTTTAGGATAAACAGCATTAGTTCACGTAACCAGTAACTAGCTGTGGTTTTGCCTCCTCACCATCTATTCCCTGCAATTCTGGCCATAGCATCTCAGTTCCTCTTTGTGTAATTATTCCACCGTATACTATATGTGAGGATGTTTCTACTGCCTGGTTGTTGGAAGGGGCCAGCGTTACCCTCAGTCCCCTGTCACAGAGAATGGTTCAGGATTGGGGACTGGGCACACAAAATGAGCCCATCGCAGGCAAGGGTATTAGCTAGAGAACTATTGTTAATTCTATGGGGGTCAGAGTTTGTTCTTTTTGTTAAGTTTTCCGCGCTGGTAGGACATGAAGCTGAAGTGGTAGAGGTTATAGTCAAAAAAGACTCTGCCTTAAACTAGCCGCAAGCACAGTCGAAACACAAAGTCTCATACCTAATGACATGGTTTGAAGGTCTGGGTCGCGTAAAGTCAGAAGACGTGATATGCTTGCAGATTACCGGTAGTTTCCTTAGAAACTAATTCAAAACTCACTGCCCTGATGTTAATGCTGAGTCACCACCTGTGGGTTTAGAAGACTCAACTGTTTAATGAAGTAGAAAGTCCTGTCTTCTCTCTTGAGCCTGCTGGTGGTTTTGAACTGCCGACCATGGGGCACACAACCCAACACATAACCACCACACTCTCAGTGTACGCAATTCACAGAAGCATAAACTCTAGTTTATGGGATCCTCTGATCAGTATCCATCCAAGGACCTTCTTGTGGTTTCCAGTTCTTTACTTTATGTTAACATGTCCCCTTCATACCCAAAGCCAAGTTCCAGTCTCTCCCCTCCCACCACGGGGACTGACTTTTCCTGATTAATGAAGTAGTTATACTTCCTTTACATGTGTGTTTGTATCAATTTATAGACACAAAAAGCAACCTGTGGAGTTCTTGTGCATATTCTCCCGTTTTTGTAGAGGTCTTGCTGTCGTGTAGCGCTCAATGCAGCTGGCCTTTCAACATCCTTCATCGGTGTCGTCATGTGGCTATCAGCAGCCCCGCTCACTGCTTCTCACCGCGGGCCCTTTCTCACTGTGTCCACCGTGCCGGTGCTCGTCCAGTCCTCCGCAGCGGAAGAGGTCACGTGGCTCCAGTCTTGTATCATAACTAACGCTCCAGTGGCCAGCCTTGAGTAGATTTCCCCGGCTTTCTGTGCTAGCGTTCTATTACAATAGTTCCAACAAGAATGTTATTAATATCAGCGAGTTCACTTCACCTCGTGGTGACCTCGTGTGGATAAAATGCTCTAACGAGCCTAGGCCATCTCCACAAGTGTTGCTTTCCTCCGTCCCTGGTTGTGGCCTCTGTACATGTGTTTTGAGTGCTTTCCAACACAACTCATCTTCCCGCACTGGATCGGACAGTACTCTGGCGCGGCCTATTGGGTTTTAATTAGCTAATTTTCATAAGCAAATCACTGCATCTTTCTCTTAGTTTGTTTTAGTCTAGAAGCTCTGTGAAACCTCTCTCCCATGGATCATCCCGGGATTTGAAATATTGGGGGCATAGCGGCTAGCACTGCAGCAACACACAAGCTGCAGGAAGTGGTTATGCACATTCTAAATTTTCTGAACTACACGTACCAGTTTACACTTCCGGCAGCAAAATGTGAGGGTTTCTATTTTCCTATATCCATGCCAGCATTCGGTATTACCTGATTTACTGCTTTAGGGTGATATGAGAGGTAAACACTGTGTGCAAGCATGTGTATTTATTTCTCCATCTACAAACTGTCCATTTGTATTTGTCCTCTTTCCTATCCATTCCCTTATTTCATATTCTCATTTCACAGAACCCCATATATATTCTAAATATTGATTTTTTTTATTAAGCATTATCATACGCTTTCACCATCTGCTAATGTTTCTATTGTGTCCTGCACCGAGCAGAAAACATTCACTTTGATAGATTAAAATTCAGCATTTTGACTTCTGTTGTCATTGATGTTGTTCTGTATGTCTAGTGTATTTGCCCCTGTTGGCTTTGTGTTTTCACCCTTAAGAGTTAGGCACTCAACCCACATGGAGTTCTGTGTATTTTGTGAAGCACAGAAACGTTATAATTTTCCTCCCTCGGTGAGCCA